GAATCTACTTATCTACTTAAGCATCACCTAAAATAACCTGAATAAAGATGACTGAAATTCTTGTTACTAAACCAGCAGTAATTGTTATTCTTTATTACAATAATAACAGACCTGTATTGTTGTATAGAGTGGGTGTAATTTCGCTATGATTGATTTTAAGGTGGTGATGATTTTGAATGTGTTCATGTCGTATTTAGAGCGCTAGTCATGTTTACCGCTTTCAATACCTATTCTACTGTATATCTATAATGATCAAACGTGTATTTCCTTAATTAAAATGAGAGGAATACAAAAGAATATCTGCATGAAAAGTTGCAGTGCGAGCAGAAAAGCTCAGTAGAGATTATGTAAAGCAATATGTCATTTTCTTGAAACTGTTGTACCATTTCACATTTATAGAATTATCTGTAGCCGTGAGGTACAGCTTGAAATCACAGCACCACACAAAGAACTGAACTGCAAGGTAAACATGCCCCCGTCTGACCTTTAGGGAGGTGTGTGATTGTGCCAGCATCGCCATTAACGTAAACACATGTGTTACAGGCAGGGGTTGGCAGCACCAGCTCTATGGACACAACATTGATTTCCACTTAAGCTCAATACAGCTACTGTGCACCTCTGCCTCAGTACTGGCCATATTTATCCAGGGGCCAACAGGGGACATCCCATTGTGGTGCAGGCAGAAGGACAAAGGCAGCCACAATGGCTAAGAATCATCCCACCTGTTGACACCAAACTTCTTTCCCAGCTTATTCATCCAGGCTCCCAAAGGGAGCTCTGTCTGGCTCCATTTTGTCCATCCTCAGTCTGTCCAGCTTTTTTCTTGATCTGACTTCTCAAGCACTTCTGCTGACAGAGAAATACTCTTGATTGTCATGCCGTATTCATTATAGCAGTTTCAGAATGGACAAACATCTAGGACAAATGTATATGACCACAGACTGATTCATCGGTTGGATTTAAACTAGATTAAAATACTGAATATAAGATGGTGACTTAGTCAAATTTACCTAGTAGGCATGACAAAACTGAATTAAAAACTGATCAAATAATTTCATTTTGTAAAAATATTTGACGTAAAATGATTTTTTTTTAAATACATTTTGTAATTTTACAATGTAAGGGTTAGGGTTATTTTTATAATACCACTAACACTATCATTCCAAAGCTTGGGGTCAGTATGATTTAAGAAATTAATACTTTTATTCAGCAAGGATGCATTAAATCGATAAAATTAAAATTTCATATTACAGTTTTTACTGTAAAGAAAATTTCTGACCCCAAGGCTTTTAAACAATATTGTATAACAACTTGAAATTCAAGACATTATGAATTTTTGTGTTTTGTGCTATTGTGTTAGAACAAGTATCTAGCCTAGTATCTGTGACCAGCAGCACATTCTGCAGGGTGATGGATGGATCAGAACTTAGTGGAGACCAGAATCTCTCCAGGTGGGCAATGGTAACCTGGTGACCTTTGTAGAGGAATTTCTCGAGCAAAGGTCAAGCGGCAGGAGCGAGGTAGCATGACAGGTGTCTGGGCTTCACACTACAGATTAATGCATGCCTCCTCTGTCCCAAAATGAATTTACCAGCCCAGACACCACAGGGAGCACCATACCACAGGAGGGCACTCTGAAATGTAATCAATAGCAAAACAAATATTCTAGAATTTGAGATATTTGCAGCGAGAGTCCTCCCTATTTTTCCGCTCATCCTGAAGCCTAGATAAGTAGATTCATAGCCATGACGACTGCTGAGACAGTAGGGGTGGGATCTGGGTCCAGCCAATGGAAACCCACCTCGGTCACAACCCCAGCCAACAGAAATGGGCACAACAATGGAGAGGCAAACTAACAGCCTAAAATTTCAAATCACCATGCAGTGCTGATCAATTCATTCAGTCAAAGCCAGGGGGGTTAAAGTTAACTCTTTCCCCGCCAGCATTTTTGATCATTTTCACAACACTTTCATGACCCCCAGAATATTTGGTTGTATGAATATCTGAACATGCAATATGTCAAAAGAAAATAACAGAGCCTCTGCTTTTAAACAAACAAGCAAACAGAAACTGTTTTATTCCAGCTTCATGTAGGGCTGGGCGGTATATCGAGTTTGTAAGATATATCAATATATATTTTTAAAAATGATATGAGGCAATACGGCCTACATCAATAAACAGTATTGATATGAGCACTTCTGAAAAATAGTGAAGAACAGAGTAAGCTGCTGCGGGGAAAGTACATAATCCAATTTGTCCTAAACATGAGACCTGCTTATATTAATGGCTTTAAAATAACTTGTAAGAAATTGTTAACACATATAGTTTAAAGCAGCTTGTCCCGTCAGATGCTTTGACAGACTCATATGCTGCTGACAGAGACGCTACTTGTGCTGTTTAATGTGCTTGAGAAGTGCTGTTTTACTCAGTGCATAACTTACATTTCACAGGTATATTCTCCATCTTTAAATGTTAGAAAGTCATAAATATTTCAATTTTGCTGTCAGGAGCGCGTGAGCCTTCTGCATGCGATTCTTCACAGACTTCACTGAACCTACGCCACTGCACGCATCTGCGCCAAACAGACGGAGCACATTAAAATACGATTGCAATAATTCTGACTAAAATATACATTTTACTACAATTTTTGTAGTTGGATAATAAATGTGTCGTGTAGAATTTTAAACCTACAAGTAAGTGTATTTTATGATAGCAGTAAGCGTATAAAGTGACTATTGTAATGGGGTAATCAAAATATAATGCAATTAATCTGCGCTTTTGTTTTTATTTCTTTTCATTTTTAGTTTAGTGAATTTAACTTCTGCTTTAAAAAGCATTGTTTTTGTGCTTAGTTTGTAATGTTACAATGCAATGTGATTTTAGTGCCTTTTTTTGCACATAATTGAGAGTGTTAAGTAACTGAGTTAAGTAACTGCAAAAAAAGTAAAAAACTGGAAATTAAACAAGCCTTGAAAAATGATTCTGGTGTACAACCACATATAAAAAAACAACACAGCTTCTTGACAAGTCTAGACAAGTAAAAAATATACAACTAGTATTGCATATACAGTAGAACTATAAACAGTATTAAGAGAGACAGCAGCTAGATACAAAGCAGCTGTACAGATGTAAGCAGTGAAATCACTACCTCTTTTATCATGTTTATGGTTCATAAATAGGTGCTCATATAATTGCAAAAAGTAATTTTTTCTGATGCCTTTCAGGTTCAGACTTCAAGAAGGACGACTATTATGCTGTGTAATATGACCGTGCCTATTACATAGGAAGAGTAAATATATATATATATATATATATATATATATATAAAAGTGAACTGAAAGTGTATTTCACTATAGTTGCTGGATTTAAGCAAGGTCATCATTTGACCATCTACTCTTGAATGAAACAACCAAACACAGGTTCCAAAATCAGTTCTTCACTTGTATTATTGTGATGTTGACACGAATGGATGGACATACATGACAATCAGTCATATTTATTTATTTAACAAACAAATACAGTACACGAAGAACAATGATTTGTAAGGATGTCAGATCTATTAATGAGATGTTCTATATTGATGTCCATATTTTTTTATAGTGGCGCTTTCCCTCCATGCTTCAGGGATGTGGTTGATTGCTAAACCAATAACAGTCATGTATACAATGGCATCTGTGAGCTGTTATGATATAGCCACTCACAGACCTCCTGGTAGGCACTTCAAAGATGTGCCACTTAAATCTATTAACATACAGAAACAAAATCAGACAACACAAAGAACGCCCCACCACCACCCACCCTAACAAACACACGGTACGCTCCATACCACCCCCCGCACAACTGCATCTGAGACACACATCAAAGAAAACACTGAAGCGTTCTGAAAACCTACAAGACCAGACATTAAATAAAATAGCACCACTAGTGTGGTAGCCTTTGTCTTGGACATAATACCAGTCTTAAATCATCTTCTGTCCCTCTGCCCTCCTGAACATCATTACAAATGTCAGATGTCAGAAAGAAGAAAAAACGCTCATCATCTGAGAGATTAACATCCCAATTACATGTGATATTTCATCATGATTAAGGCAGCAAACCATTTAGACCATGTTATGCCAGTTCCACTTAGTGAATGAGACAGAATCAGAGGAAAATAAAGAGGGATGGATGAGAAGAACAGAAAATATTATTATTATCATCAAGGTATAGGGATGGGAATTCCTCTTAACGATTTTAGTTCCTTAAGGAGCCCACAATGGGGCCCTATGAAATCCCATTTATTTTTTCCCAAATTCTGTGTTTTACGTTTTAATTTCTGTTTTAATGGTTTGATTACATTTTAATAATCAAAAAGGAAGTCTAATCAATTTCATTCATAAAACATTTCATAGGGCAGTATTATTGTTAAATTGTAATAAATGATTAAATTGTTTTATTAATTTTTTTTTTTTTAGAAATTCTGTGTTGATTTTTCCCAGATTCTGTTTTCCGATTTAATACAAATTTATTATAAAAAATTTGTCGGGACTCGGGTCACGGGAGAATGCATATATGAGAACCTTTAATGGAACTAAACGTCATTTGATTCCAGTATTTTTCTTGGTTCCAAAGCCTATCAAATTTTCATATTAAACAAGAAGTTGAACAGTCAAGTTAACAGAAATACATTTGCCAAGGCAGATAACAGGTCTACAAAAAAAATAATAATAAAAAATAAAAACCAAAAGGACAGCACACTGCCTCAACACTCTCAAACTATATTTAACCCTCTACCGCACGCATTATGATAGACCTAAAAAAAATGCATGTCATGTGACTTAATCAAAGCACATCATTGGCTAAACTAAGGTCTTCTCTTTCCAACAAAAAAAACGAGAATGTTCTCTTAAAGAGACAGTGGCAAGGAAATGAACACAAAGAGTATGTTGCCATATGGCTACACCATGCGGTAGAGGGTTAAAAAAAACAATGTTTCCATCATGTTGTTCTTTGTGAGGTAGTAGAGAATAGAGGCATCAGGGGCAGAGAACAGGGGCATCAGACAATGGAAGAAGGCGTGGAATGAATATTGTCAGTGGGTTGAAGCAGCTGCTGAATAACCTGCAACTATAGAATACAGATAACAATAATACTGATGAAGTGCACATGAGCTTTCAGGGGTGTTGTTGGGAATCCCATGAACACAGGTTTAACAATGCACACTAATTCAGAGGCTTATCCAATAATTAAAATAGCAGCGGCTGGATCCACAATGCCAAACAAACACCTTTATGAGAGGAACATCTATAATTTGTTACCAGTGAGAAAAACATGCACAGTTCAATCCTTCGTGCATAATGTCTGTCCTAGCATCGTTACCATGCTCTACTTGATAGGCCAAATGACAGCTAACACTTCCCTAAACATAACATTACAAGCTGCCTCTTCAATTTGATGCTACCCGCACACAAGCACAGAGGGTGACTGGAGATAAATAAAAAAAAAAAAAGTGAGGAAAAAAAGGGGAGAAGGTACATGTCTCATCATCTATTTTGATGCTTCAATTTACATTTCCCTGCCCAGCTTATAAAAGTGGACAGGGAACACAAGGACGCTGACACTGGGATATCTGGCGGGCGGCAGAGGTCAGCTTTTAAGCTGTCAAAAGCGCAGTACTTATTAGAATAAATCTCCAGACTCACCAAAGGGCAGCACTGGCCCCTGGTTCTGGCTGACCCAAGGTGGGTTGGAGAGGGGCAGAGGGCCTGTGCTCTGATGTGCAGGTATGAACCAAGTGTCCATAATGAAAAGCCTGTTCCATGAGATGAGGGGGGAGAGAAGAGAGGTAGCTGGAAAAGTGTAAGGGTTGAGGGACAGAACAAACATGAAGCCAAAATAACAGGGATCATCAGGCAAACTCATGATAGTATCTGAAACTCAAAAACAACCCCTCAGAGAAATATGACAGCTCAGGAATATTATATCATAAATATTATTCTAAAAATAAAAAACATCTAAACAAAAAAAAATATATATATATTAAAACTACAAAAATGTAAATACTATATTTTAAGGCAAATGTGCGAGACAAGATAAAATTGACATTGACCCATTGAGGTCAGGGCACAATTTTCAGTCAGGGAAGTACGTCAGAGAAAAACAAATGTGCCCAATCCCTATAAAAATGTTGATTTAAAACAATGAACTGACTGCGTTATCTGGATATTGGAAAATATCATTAACACTTTACACTCATCAAATATCATGAAAAATCACCCAGTATTTAGGTTCCAACTTTTCCAACTAGCACTTCTATGTTTCAGGATTTAGCTTTAATTAGAGCTACTGTTTATACAATATCAAGGAATATATACAAAAAAATAAAAACTTGCAAACATTTATTTTGTACATTTCCTTTCCAATCAACTTCTAATTTTTACAAAAAGTTTGAAAAGTGTTTTTTCCCATATTAGGTCAGATTTGTTACTGTCAATCATTTAAATCAAGTTCGGATTGTTTTATTGTGTTAAAAAAAAGCAAAAAAGAAAAGTGTTTTTTCCCCACAAAAAAGGGTGTTCAAAATTCTATCAGCCATTCAAAAAAATTATTCCAGATGTATTTAAAAATGTAATTTCCACCAATGTAAAAAATTTAATTTGTAAAATGTAATGTAATTTTTTTGTTTTTGCCCCCATTTTTCATGAGCTGAACTCGAAAAAGTCTTAGATCTTTGAGTTCAGCTCATGAAAAATGGGGGCAAAAACAAAAGTGTTGCGTTTATAATTTTGTTGGGTGTAGTTGTAAAGCGCAGCATTCCAGCTTTGTGAATATTCATTGCGAATTCTCGATGGCATGAGTCTGAATCAGTGAAATGTGATGTAAACAAAATGTTCGTGCTGACTGACATCCAAAGTGTGCACATAAAGACGTGTCTCTCAGACAGCGCGCGATCCCGATCTACACATATTCACAGAATTACAGTATTTCAAAATATCTGTCTTGGCGAGTATTCACACAAACATAATCTGTTATGTCTTAAGTGAGCATTTGATTAACCGTTGTAACATTATATTAGATCAGTGCATTACAGTAGGTCTTAATATATAGGCCGTCTGTCACATTATTGTTAATCTAACAATAAAAGAAAAGAGGGAATCACTCGCTGCTCTTGATTGAACTGCTTTTGTAGTTTTAATAATCAGTTTATTTGTAATGAATACACTAAAATGATTTTTACATTTGATTTGCCTATTTTTTTCTTATTTGAATGCTTCTGTTTAGATGTAAGATGAAAAAAACATTATTTAAATTGTATCTTTCTTATATTATATTTGTTCTTCTGTTTATTTGCATCTTTGTTCTAATTTTTGATTACAAAGATAAAATAAAAAATAGCTATATTGTGATTATTAATATAGTAGTTATTATTAAGAAAAGAAGTGGAGGAAAAGATGCAACGTTGCTAGATGATTTTGCTTTGGAACCTTCAGAAAACTTTAACTCGATATTTCTCAAAATTGGCTTTGTTGACTATCAACTTCAAACGGGTGTAGCTGTCATTTTTTGGTTGATTCCAACTAATCGTACATCATTTTGAAGGTTTTTTTAATGAGATTGTGGAAATAAAAAAGAATTCATTTTTGAAAATGTGCTCTATGAGACACATTTTGCCAGCACAGGTCACATATGTCCACTCTTTAACTATTGTTAATGACTAAATCAAGTTTATTGTCTGAAAGCACTAAGTTATTTAAGTGAGAAACACACACATCCAAAGTAAAAGGCAGAGAGTGGATAGACAACTCTATCAAATGTAGATCATTCCCTTAAAAAGACTGACAAACTCTGACCCCACCAAAGAGGATGAAAGCAAGAGATCGACATAAACGTAAGAGTGGAAAATCAGCCAGCCCGCAAAGACAAACACCAGACAGGAAGAGCTGGAGGCAATCGCTCGGTACTGAATCAACACTTGTGTTAGTGCCCCCATGAGAGAAACCCTGTCGCCGCCACACCTGAGGAACGCTCTCTGAAGCACCTATAACACAGTCAGAGGGAAATGACGCCTGAGCCAGGCTGCATGTCTGAGCTGACCCTAGAACAGGTCCAAAGCTTTAACTGCACTGCGTCTGCTCTGGGTGTGGGGAAGAATGAGGTCAGATCCGATGGATTCAAAAATAAATAGGGAAAAGTTCAACAAAATGGTGGCACAGGTTGATCAATGCAACTATCATCAATCACTCAGGGCCGTTTCCTGCAGGAAGCACACTCACTCTGCTTCCCTAAACGCTGCTGCGGCAGTTAGACCTGGTCACCCAGGTGACCCCCAGCGACCCTTTACTATGACATCAGAGGCCCTGATGCTGTGCTGGCAGGCACTAAGGAAGGCAGGCCTGAGGAAGACCTTAGGGTCGAAATATTGTGATTTTAATAAACTTTGTTTTTGAGAGCAGTAGTGGCAGTGTGCCGATTTTTGTTTATTGACAGTAAGGCACTAAGAAAAAGCCACTGGAGGTGGCATTTGCCACAGGGCCCTGGAGTGCAGCCCACCCTACTCAACAGGAAGCAGAAGCATATCAAATAGTAACAGACAGCTTAACACACAAGCCCATAAAACTCTTAACACATCCAAAGCATGACTGAGCATCATGCCTCCGGGTACCTTAAGACCTGCATGTTCAGATGCACTGATGCTGAGAATATTTTCATTTCATGAGGGTCCGGCCATTGGTTTAGTTTCCAGCTTTGACTATGAGTGATGAATTAATGAAATTCCTAGATCTGGGGTTTGGAAAATTGTTGATGCCATTAACCCACAAATATCACAATCCCCTTTACTAAAATATAAAGGCAGCTATACATTTTCATGTACACTATCATTCAAAGGTTTGGTGCTTGTAAGATTTCTTAAATGTTTTTGAAAAAACATGCTGCATTTATTTTATTACTCCAGTCTTTAGTGTCACATGATCCTTCAAAAAAATCATTCTGATTCAGTGCTCAATTATAAGCTTCTCAATTATAAATGTGTGTAAAATACTATGTGAAACATATTATCTTTAAGCATAAGGCCACTTGAAGAGAAAGATAAAATACTATCTATAAACAGAATAAAAAAATTATTAACAGATTGCCAAGCAATCTTTAAAAAGCAGAATGAAACAATGTGTCAAATTTCATAAATTAACCTGTTTAGATATTATTATTATTATTTTCCCACCTACTCCCTTGCAACCCCTGCCCTCTGTATTTTCTTCCGCAAGTTACACCCCTTGTGGCCTGAGTGGCCTCCAATTAATTGAACTTGTTAAAACAACTTGAAGAGATGTCAGTTATAGACAATAGTGCAATTACATCAGTGTGAGTTATAGAAATAGGATGGGAACACTTTTAGAAAAGAAGTTGCAGGAAAGACAGAAGGGTGCTGCTTCCTTCCCCACAACATGTGAGCCATGAGCTAGCAACACTGAGCCTCAGAGCAAAGCACCTGCAAAAAAGCGTACTGTAAGCTGCTTCTGATAGAAATCAGCTACAAAATGACTACTTAGTAACTGACCAAAAAACAAAAAGCGCATACTTCAACAAATCCATCCTTAGTCAATCAAACACACGTGGCTTCATCGCTAAAGTTGACACCATTGGAGAAGATCAGAAAAAAAGCCTCTTTGATCTCCTGACCTGTGCTTCCTCTTCAGAGGAACGCAGCATGACCCAAGCTCACCCCTGCTTTGGACATAGAGAAGATTCTCTGTCTGTAGATTTCAGGGCTGGTCATCATTAGTTGCTTAGTTAAAGACAGCCCTGTTCAGCCCTCTCTTTTCGATTCTGACACATCTATCTTCTCAAGGCCACAGGTTCACAACGGCTAATTCAATTTCACCCTGCTGCCCCAGCCGCCAGGCTGCAGAGACATGCATCTACAAGATACTGCCTTGCAGCCACCGCTGGAGATTCGGAAGGATTTTGGAAGGCCTCGGGCGGCCTCGAATTTAATAGACACAGTTAACGAGATTGTAGAGGGGGCAGAGGAGGATGAGGCACAGGTATAGCATGCCATGGGCTTCCTGCCCACCGGTGTGGTGAATGTACGGGCTAGAACACCCACATGGAGAACGAAGACTCTTGCTCGGCAAACTATTATCAGGAGGAGGCCGAAGTGTGTGCGACTCTCTCAAGGAGATTTGGAAAACTTAGAGGGGAAAGTAGCGGGGGCAACATCTGTGTGGCGCACCATCGGCTTCGGTTCACTTATCGGAGCGCTCGCTCCCCGCACCAGATGTGACTCGGAGGTGGGCGTGTGTCGTGGCGAACGGCGGCGCAGCAGCGTGCAGCCCCCCTCTTCTCCTTTCAATACCTGACAGCTGCTGACCCAGAGGAGCAGAGGAAGAAGAGAAAATTAAAGTCAGACAGAGAAGAAAAGGAAAGAAATCACACTTTCTAAAATGCATTTCGGTTCCTGGAGGGCCACTGATAAGATGTGTCATTCCACAGGTCTAAGTG